AAGAAAGAAAGGCATATACAGAATCAGAGGAACAAATGCAGAAATGGGGGGGGGGAATATTAGATGCAGGAAAAAGAAAACATAGCAAAAAAACTCCCAAAGAATGAAATTTGAGAGAAACCTGAGATGGCAGACATAGCAAGAAAACTCAAGGAGTAAAAAATAAATAGCCAGAGGAGCCTTGCTAAAGAGGTTAGACTGATATGATTAAATGACACTTATATTTTAACAAACATAGTGGGCTTTGATTTGAAAGCAAATATTCTATACAGCTGCATGCAAATAAAATTACTTTTCTTTTATTCTAAGAAAAATAACATAATGGGTAAATAGTTGAAGGTTTTTTTCGTAAGAGGATGCGTATCAGTGCAGTTGCATTAATGGACACATTCAAGAAATTATTAGAATAGTGACAAAGTAGATTTTTCAGCTACCAGTGTTGCCCTTTTACAGGCATGTTGTGAAAGTGCTGTTGATGTTGATATATAGAATGGTCTACATTTGTTGCTTTTCTCATCTCTTTAAAGCTAAGGTGAGCTAACGCAATGCAGGCCTTTTACATGTACACATTTCACATCAGGACAGATTTTCATTAACATTGCTTGCCTTGACGTCAGTCTGCCATTGAAGAGAATAGTGACTACACCTGGGAAAGGTCAGGTGACCTGGTTGAAGTCAGCAGTACCTACAGGAAACATAGTGATTTATATCAATGTGGTTGCAGTAATGTCCAAAATCTTTGGGCAGATTCCTGTAATGTCAACTGTAGAATAAAACATAAATGAATATTTAAGTCAGACTTTACAGTCCCTGTGAAGTTATAGGAAATGGAGGAATGCAAACCTGAAAGCGGTGCTTCCTAATTTCCCCACAACGTAAACCCTCATCAATCTGTTGGCTAACATATAACATCATTTGTATTTCTTCTACTCAGTACACCTTGCTCTTCTCTCTTAAATCCTTGCAGAAGCAGGCTGAGTGCTGTCAATGCTGACACAGAGAAGGACTTCAACAAGACAAGGACTTCAAGTTTGAATATTTTGGATGTGGCCAGTTTTAAAAAAGGCTTTGACCACAGATCTTTCATAAACATTACAAAATTTAAAGCAAATGGCTTTTAAAGTTGACAGCTTTGCCCCCTTCACCAATGATGTTTAAAAGTTTACAGGGTATGCTATTTGAAAATATAGTTAATATAGTTTTGCTGGCTTTGGACTGTTAGGTAGACAAAACCACTAAAATCTGTTCCACCATGCAGGACTACTAAATGACAATAAAACTGTACAAGAGGCTGGACTTTAAGTAAGACAGATACTGTATTGTTTGGAAAGCTCAGCTGTGACTTGATCTGTGCCAGAGCAGCTCTGTGAACCTGTCTGTGTTGGTGTAAGACACAGCTCTACTTCTAAGTCACAGCAGTGACTTCTTCAGCCAGCTCTGGTTACTGCTCCAGGGCACGATTGCTGTGCTGCAACAGGAGGATTAATCCAGCTGGCTTTGCTCCAGGGTTTGTGATGTCCAGAAGAGATGGGAGAAAGGGAGGGAGAATCCATCATGTCCTTGTTGGTGTTTTGCTTGTGTCTGCAGCCTCATCTGTATATAAGATTGCACCAGTTGGATTAAATATGGTGTTTCTATGTGCTCCAGAGTCTGTATGGACGCACACAACTGAGCCTGCAGGTGGGATTTGTATGTTTGTTAAGCTTAAAGTGTTATGCATCCCCTGAGAGAACAGTTTTGGAAAAATTTCCCTGAGAAAAGCCGTATTTGAGCTCAGCTCTGTGGAGAAAGGAGAGGGTGGAGGAACAGATGAAACAGCCAGGAAGAATTGACCCTGAGACAGTACAAAGGATCAGAAAGGAAGGATCTTTATGATAGTAAGAACTACAGAAAGAGCAGAGAAGGAAATCCCAAAGCACAACCAGTGAAGAAGGAAGGCCCTGACAACTCACCATAACCACCTTGGCCATGAGAAGCCTGAAGCACAGGGCCAACTCAACCAACCAAAGAGCTCACTGATTTCCTCTTCTTGTGCTCAATTTTTCACAATGCTGAACGGATTTCAAAGACCTGAGCCAGTATTAATTAGAGTTTCATGGACTACCTTAGTGTATTTTGTGACTGCAAGACTGCCTGCCTCCTAAGCACTGCCTTATTGATTTGGAAATACAGGGATGAAGAATTCCTTACTTTTGTAGATGGGACAACAGAAAACATGACTGAGTAAAATAGAGACAAATTGTGTGTCTAGGCTCCTGTACTTGGCAATATTCACTCTTCTGCAATATGATGAAGATGTGAAGCTCCAAAAATTGGGAATAGATGGATCTGGCCTTTAACTCATGTCCCTTCCCACTGATGACCTCAGCAACACCAGTATGATGCAACTGCAGTATGGTGTCAGACCTCAGGTATTAAAGGAGCCCATCAGCAGTGGGGTCCCAAGAAAATTTCAGCCCCAATTCACGTGACTACTAGAGCTGCATTATTGACGTGATGCATTTACAGATCTCACAGCAGTTCATTAATTTCTTATTACTCGGATTAACTTAATGCCCTGTTACCATGAGGATATGTGAAGGCCAGGGAAACAAAGAGGAGAGGTAAAAGTCTCCAAGACCTTTGCAAATAGCATGCCCCAGGACCACTTAAACTGTCTGTTCAGGTACAATAGTCTACAGGGTGAAATGCACCAGGAGATTTTCATTTCCAGGAAGGCTGATTTTGTATCTCATCCAGAATATGCTACCATTACTACAGCATCCCAGACAAACATAATGGGATCAGTACCAACTGGAAAGGAAGATAAGTTTTGCTGAATCACTGTCACTGTATCTGATCTTAGGTAAACACCTACGGGCCCTGGGTCAGCCCTTGAGGGAATATATGTATGGAAGTGTTTCCTCTATGAGTCAGCCATGCCATTTGCCATGGCAAACAGTTCTTTTTTGAACAGTTCTTCCCCCCACATTGTGGCACTGATACCTTTTAAACTTTTAGAAGAAAGAGTGCTTTACCTTGAGTCACCAGCTGTAGATGTCCCCTAAGGTACCCTGTGATGGAGGACAGCAGCATGCAAAGCAGAAAACAGCACCATGAGTGAGAGGGGAACATGCAGAAGTATGTGAAGTATTCATCTCTCCCAGCCATGAAGGGCATCCAGCAATCTTTGTCAATGTCATGATTATTTTATAGCACAAGAAAAACAACTTGAACAGTTGCTAATCCAGTAGGCAGGAAAACAGGAGAGAGCTAAGAGGAGATGCTTCATACGAGAGGAAGGCCTGCAGATGCAAGGCCACATCTCTTGGAGAATGTGCTTGGATTGCGAGAGAAAAAAGGGGCGTTCGCATGCCGGTGTGCTGCGGCTCCCTCCGGCGTCCACCGCGAGCAAGAACAGCAGGACACCTCCAGCGATTTCTCTGCGGCTTGTCTGGTATGTAAAACACCGAACAGCTTCCCAGCCAGCAGTTCCATCACCAGCAGCATCGCCCCATCCGCACCAAGCTCTCCAAATTGAGGGGTTCTGCTAGCACAAGGGATCCACCCCCACCAAGCAGCTGAGGGAGAATGTCTTCCAGTTTGAGAGAAAAATTTAAAGCTCAAAAGCAATCAGCACAAACCTCACCCACTACTGGCTGTGGATGCTGTGTTCTGTGGGAGATGGTGGTACATCAACACATTGGTAGACAAAAACATTTGGAATCAATGAAAATTTCCAAATAAATGTGTTGAAGACTTACCAGGCCTTCAGGATGTTTTTGTTAGCCTCTTAAGCAGGAGCAGCTCAAATGACAACACAGAGGCACAGAGAAAAACAAAAGCCAAACCAAGGTGTGTGGAAATTTGTCCAAACATACTGCTATGTGGACTTCCAAACAAAAAACCAAGGATCTGAGAGGATTGCTCAAACTGGTGTGTAGTTATAACTTCCATCACAACCTTCTGTTTGTTTAATGACCTCTTGAGCATTTCCAATGGACTCAGTTTTAGCGAGTCCCTGAAAGTGGGAATGGTGGTGTCTTGCTCCAGTAAAACAGAGGAATGATGGTTGGGTTCAGAGGGCTGCCCTGATGAGCAGGGAGATGCTTCACTTTCCCCAGCCCCTCTGCACCTCTTCTGGTATGGTCCACCACTCGTACATCCTCCAGGAGTCTTGGGAGGACCACAAATAAGAAGGAACAGTCGTTTTCCTCTTAAGCTCTGCCAAAAACAATGTTCAGCCACTCTCAGGTAAGAAGTGGTGGCTTCAGTTGTGTCATGTGTGGGCAACGTGGGTCTCACGTGCCAGGGAGGACATAGTGAGCATTTCCTTAGTAACTGTTATAAGGCATTGTAGGATTTTATTTTCAGTTTGCAATTAGTTGAGAACAAATGGGGTTACCAAGCTACCAGGATGAGCCTTAGGGGGCACAGCTTTTCCTTATAAGATTTCTGTCTTTCATTGCTATATGAAGTAGGGAGTTGGGATCACTTCCTAGCCTTCTCCTTGGCTCCAGGACTGAGATTGTGTCTTGAAGCTCATCCAGTGCCTCCTCAAATCCAGCAGAGCTGTTAGAGAAGCAGTAAAGGGAAAAGAAGGCAATGAAAGCAACAAGAGGATGTCGGATCCCGGGGCTATTGGAGGAAGAGTTAGGGGAAAGTGGCTATTCCAGTGGGACTTGTGGGGCTTGCACCTCCGTCAATCATAAAACACACCGTGCTTGGAGGCACAGGGGAGTCAGGAGGATGGCAGTGAAGGTCAGGTCTCATTCATCATCTTCCTTCTCAGTTTGTGTCCTCTTTATATATATACATATATATATATGTATGTGTATATATATGTATATACATTTTTTTTTTTTTTTTTTTTTTTTTTAATTGCCTGCCTTTCTCAGGCCAGCACGGCGGTGGCGCTGCAGGACTGGCCCCGTGGCCGGTACCTGTTCCCGTTCCTTGGTTCCTTGTGCTCCCTGCCCGCCACCAGCCTAGTCCAGCGGGAAGCCCAGTCCCTCCATCCCGCCGGGAAGCGCCAGCGAGGCGGCGGGGTGCTGTGACCGCTGTCGCTGCCCGCCCATATCCCGCCATCCTGCCATCCTCCTGCCGGCCCGTGTGCCCGCCAGCCCCGGCCCCGCTCGGCGCCGCAGGGCGCGTCCTGCGGGAGAACGGGATGCGGGCCCCGCGGTGTCCCTGTGCCACAGGCAGCCAGGGAAACGGGGAGGAGGAACGGAGCGCTGGGGTGCGGACTGGCGGCAGCTGAGACGGGAAACGTGGCTAGAGGTAGCGGCCTGAGGAGAAGCCGGGCTGCATACACGGGCAGGACGAAACGGGACACCAGTGTGCAACGCAGACCCAAGAATCCATCCCTGGTGCTGGGCCATCCTGGGGGAATGGGAGGAGCCCTTTCGGAGGACAATAAACTCTGGAATGAGGGTGTGGGCTGCTGCTCCTCGCTCCCCCCCTCATTCCACATGCATGATGATACCATATCCCTCCATTTCGCTGGCTTCTTGGGTTGTTTTTTTTTTTTTTTCTTTTTTTCCCTCTATTCCCAGAAATTGTATTTTGAAGACAACCAAAAGGAGAACGTGTTCTGGGTGTGGCTGCATGTGATTTACCCAATAGCCAAAGTGGGGGGGAGCCGAAGGGGAAAAACAGAGAGTCTGCTGCTGAAGGGAGTGGAAGCTGAGGGCTGCAGTAAGTGATGGGAACCCTATCTTTTCTTTCAGTGCTCCTCGAAATAATTGAAAAGTAGAAGAGAATGGAGGGAGAGAACGTGGGGGAAACTCTTCATTGCATGCTGATGGTGTGTGTGGTGACATCTAAATGGGAAAAGAGATGGGGACTGAAGAAAGGAGGTGGAAAAGAGGAACAAAGCAGGTGGTGTTATAAGTTCAGTCCAGAATGTTTCAGAAATACCTGGAAAACTGGCCACATGAGGAGGGAGAGGGGAAGGGAGGCTGGGAAGACCAAATGGTCTTGAGAGGAAAATGGGTACAACAAGCAAAGTTTCTGAGGTGTAGGGGAGGGTATACCAGTTCCTGCCTTAGCTTTCCTCTGTTCTCCACTCCACAGGGATGAAGACCTCTGGAACCTGTATACTGTTTTGTGTCTTAACGCTCTTCTTGTCCCCAGCTGGTGAGTCCTTATGCCCCGGGGAAGGATTTTTTCCCCATCTGGGCCCCATGGAGTTTCCTACACAGAATAATGTGCAATGATCTAAGGACAAAGATATGTGAAGGGGTAGTGAAGGGGGAAGGACTGAACAGGAAAGGCAAGGTGGATATAGGATTGTAAGGAGAAAATTAGGAACTGGAAACAGTTTCCCATCTGTGACGCTCTCTAGTAAGTACTGGGAGTCACAAGAGACAGAGGTCCACAGCTTCTACTGCAGGTATGTTATAGTAGGCAAAACATCCTGTTCAAGCTGAGAAGGAGGGTTAGGTGTGCTTTGTGCTTACTGCTGTACCACCTGTGTAAGCATGATCTGCACAGCATTTCCCAGAGCTCTCCAAAATTTGTTCTGTCACAGTTGTAACGCATTTGCTGTCACTAGTAGTTCCTGCTGGAATGACCTCATTCCAAGCCACTCAGCTGCTGGAAGGTTTTGTAGTATTTGTACAGCTGTTTTGAGAAACCTCACCTCTGTAGTTCAGACCATTTTCTGCTTTTGGTAGTGGTGGTTGTTGTTATTCTGTTTTGTGTCTCCATTACTTTGTTTGCTTGGAGATACTTTGACAAAAATTCCGATCAAATTTGTTTTTTTAAAACAAAGCCCAACAACAACAAAAAAGAATAAAACAAGAGTGCAGCATCAGACATTATAGTCAGAAGACTCAGGACAGATAGTGAAAGATTAATTTCAGTGAATGGACAAAGCTTTGTCCAGGAAAGACTGTATGTATCACTTTCAAACTAGGTTATTCCAATATCCTCCTTGATCCTCCCCTCATGCTGAATCCTGATTCTGTTCCAAATAGCACTTTTTCCTTTAAAGGTGCACAATAAACAATGTCATATTTATGACTGTGAAGCAGGGAGGTGAGGCATCCAAGACATGAGCTTATAGGTGGACTACAATTTGAAAGAGGAAAAAAAAAGGCCATGGTTTTTATGCATGAAGGAAGCCTGAAAGGAATATTTCTTACTTTTGAGTATTTTGCTTTAGCGCTTCTCTTTGTGTTTGTTTGTTTTAACTTGGAAAATAACAGGAATCACCAGCTGGTGTCTCATTGTTTCTTTTGGTTTTGGGTAAGATACAGATTTGGTGAGTTAAGGTTGCCGTTGCCGTTCTAGATCTCAAGGATAAATTTACTGCAGCTTGGATAAGTCCAGTTGTTTAAAAGGCTTATTTATTGGGTACCATAGTAATTATAAATTGAAGTGATTGAAGGTGGGATAAGAGAATCACCCTTTTTGTGTCCTTGCCTTGTATGCAGAGATTTCACTTCACTTATGTCCTTTTGTTTTAGAATTGGACTGGTTTTCTATTCAGCCCCTGGGGGAAAAAAAGATTCATAACAGCTGACTTTTCAAAGTTAGAAAAGGGGGAGGAGCCACCCTATCTTTTCTACACCTCTCTTCAAATCCAGCACTGGCTTCTGCAATGGTTTCAGGATTTTCATCCTTTCTTATGCATCAGTAAGAAATGAGAAAGTGCTCAACACCGTTTTCTTCCCTACTTGTTACAATTAAGAGATTAGCCAGAACAGGGGAAGTTTTGGGCTGTATCAAATTGTGTACTTAAGTTATTATGCATGTCTGACTCTCCCTGGCTTAATCGCCAGCAGCTGGCAGCTGGGTGGGGAACAGAATATCAGGGTCCAGCAACTCCTGTAATGCTGTAGAGCAGGATTATGTAGGGGTCCCAAGAGACCCTCTGCGGCCTGCAAGTAACTGCCCTTGGAATGTGGAAGAACTATGACAAAAACTCCAGACCTGACAGTTTTTATCCACACAGTGCTCCCACTAAGAGCAGAAAGCTGCAGGCTGAGGTCGCAGGACATAACGGGATGTACTGATTGTTGGGCTGGTCATGCACACATCCCTGCAGTGCCCCAGATCACTGCCTTTTTCCTGACAACTCCTTCCTTCATTCCACCCCAGTTATGCAGACATTTCCCTCGTCTGTGGCTAGCAGGAAATATTTTCCTATTCCTGGCTGCTGTAAGGAAGCTGCTCTGTCACTCTTTATATTTAAACAAACAAACAGTCTAGCCCAGCTTCAATTTCTTTCATGTAGCATGCACAACCAAGCCTTCATCGTTCCCCTTCTCCAGTTCACCCAAAGGCTGAGAAGGGAAAGATTCTTTGCTCTGTGCTCCATACCCAGGCTGAATGATTTGCCTAAGGAGCTACAAAACCTGCAGTCTGCTTTTTACTGTACCAATGACTCAATCCGTGCCTCCAAGCGAATAATTTCCATGACTCAGTTTCCTCTTTTATAAAATAGAGATAGGGATTTTGCTCAGCCGCCAAAGCAGGGAGGCCACATGGATTTTTTTATTTTCCCCAAAATGCATCAAAAGAGGTTTCAGAAGGGCAAAGTCTGGAGGTATTTACTAACTTGTCCCTGTGTCTGGCCATTGCCCCTGGTGGAAGCAGCAGGGATAGGATCAGGACCTGCTGTATCCACGAGCCTTTAAACAGCAAATGCAGCCAGCAGTGGAGGCTGAGGCTGAGTAGACAGCATTTCTCCCTTCAACAGAGGGCAGTGGTGTCTCTGGATAAACACTAAAATTTCATAAAGCCTGCAGACTATAAAAATCTGTCTTTCGTCATGCCCCTCTCTTCTTCTCTTGCAGACTGGTTTCCATGGATGGTCAATGGGCAAGAACTGGAAAGTGCAACTGGTAAGTATTACAGGCATGTGAATGTGCTGAAGATTGCTCATGTGACCCAGCTGTCCTGTGGAGTTACAGCCTGTTTATTAGAAAATACTGTTCTGTGTTTCTTTGCCTCTAACATTGTGAGCTTACCTTTCAGTGAAGATTAAACAAGCTCTCCAAGACAACCTGCTAAGTGTTACATGCTCTTTACAAATAATTCTCAAGTGCAGGGGTCCTGAACACTTAGCTGAAGGGTACAAAGTTATGTTCACAGTCAAGGGTTGTAGGAGGTCCACAAAAGCTGGTATGTCTTCAACCATGAGATGCTTGGGGAACTCTACTGGTACTCAGAAAAATCCTAAAGGAAATGGTGCACAAATGGCATGGTGCTTTAGTGAGGCCATTGGGAAAGAATAGTGACTGATCTTCTTACTGGCTGTATTGTTGAGGGTGAATTGATTTATCCTTCTGGACCTTAATCCATTTTTGCCACATGGTAAGATAAAATGAATGTACATTTACTTCATGCTTCAGCACCCAAAAGGACCACAAGGGCTTGCCTTTTCTTCAAACCTCAAGTCCCAGGCTAAGCCTGGAGACGTCTCCCAGCTATGATCCTCTGATATGCAATATCTGCAGTTTCCCTCATATCAACTATGAGGGTTGATACAATATGTGCACCAAGAAATCCAATCCCAGCTACCAGAAAGGGGAGTGGATACGGATGGGTTGAGGGTACTGTGTTTGATTATGTATTTGCTGGTTGGATCCCACTGTCTCATGAACTTATGATGGCAGGAGAGGTAATTCAAGCTGGCTCTGGCTGGCTGTGTAAGGGACCATAAAGTAAAGAAAAGCTTTTTCAAGGATATTCTCTTTTCCAGGTGGAGTTACCCCTGACAGCAGCTCTGGTAAGCTCCAATCTCTTGGCATCTTCATGCTTCTTTTTCCCTTTTCACCACTGCTGCCTACACAGTTGCAGAAATTACCCATTATGCCCAGAAACTCCTCGTCCCACTTCTGATGTGCAGCAATGTTCTTCCAGCACTTATGGCTGTCTGGCAGTTTTTTTGTGCTCCACCCAGGGAGATGAATTTAGGGTGACTTAATGGTCTGTTGTCCAAGGAAATACTAATCTCACTTCATGTAACAAGACTCCCTGAAGATGTTTCCATTGAAGGAAGCCATGAAATTTAAAGCTCACACATCCTTGGCTTCCAGAGAAGGTGGCAGGAACAAACAGACTAAATGATGAGGGTGAGAAATTGGACAGGTTCAAACTGGGACACAGGCTGTGTGTGTGTGCCTGCTGACGGGTAGCAGATGTGCTTCAGTTCTCAGGAGACAGAGGTGCCAAAAATCCCCTGAAAGTAGCAGCGCAAACCCTGAGCATTGTTGGAGCGGGGAAGTGGAAATTCTGTTCTTTCAGTACTGTCTGCCCCACCGTGCCTGTGGCTGTGTCACAGGGGAGCAGCAAAATGTCTGAGAAGGGAAGTGTAGATGGAGGACTTAGAGCTCATCCTTAGAGAGGGGAGACGGCCCCAGGAGAAGGACACAGAGCTGATGGAAGTATAGGCAATTCCAACAATGGGCAATGGAAGAAAAGAGAGGCTCAAGAAGGGGCCTACCCACTTTTTCCAACCCCACTCTTAGTTCAAATCTGTCACTGCTGGCCTTGGGAATGGTTTGTCTCTCTGCTGGAGCAGTCTCCCAAACATATCCCTCTGAGAGTGGTAAAGACCAGGCAGGACAGGGAGAGGGAGAACACTTGTGGTCGATGCTATGGGTCAGAGAGAGGCAACTATGCATGGCTGTTTCTGGGGAGTGTGATCTGAGTGTATGAGAACTCATCTGGGAGTGGTGTCTTGTTCTCTAGAACACCAGCTCCACAGTTTGTCCTCTGCCCTGACTCTGCTCATCAGCTGGCTGCAGTATTTGTTGTGGGTCAGACTGCCATGAGACTGAGTCAAGAGGCCAGCTGGAAACCTAATTAGGGTAATTGAAAACTGCAGATGAGTCGAGGGGCCAAAAAGGAATATAATTAAGATAGTAAAAGACTGTATATTTTAGTTAAGATCTTAAATAAGTTAAAGAGTTAAGTTATAAATGTGGCTAGCAAGAATCACGTACTCTAGTTAAAGTGTGGCAAAGATATCCAGAAGTAAAGCTAGGAGTGACAGGGGATAGATAGAGTATTATAGAAGGGCAGAAACCATAAAAATAACTGACCTCTAAGAATAATCAAACAAGAGAGACTTGGACTGTGACCAGCAGGTCAAAAAGTCCTGCCAACTGGACATAGGTGAGAGTTCACCATGAGGAAGACGCCTTTCTTCTTCCCATATGCCACTCCCTTCTTTCAAAATCCCACTGACCCAATTAAGAGGATACAATTGCCCAGCCATAATAGATATTCAGCTAATTATAATATGAAAACAGGCAGGTAATGATTATGTATCAGGCATCCATAGAAACCACGTGAATATATAAACCTTTCTTAGATAAATAAAGAGCAGGAGTCTGTGAGTTCTCCTCTCACATACCTTTAGAAATTATTCCACATGTAATAAATATCCTTCTTTTCAACTTTAATTCGTTGAAGAGTCACTTTTCTGTGCTTCAAGACAACAGTGCAAGAGGAAACTGGAAGCACAATATTGTATCAACAAGATGTATGATCTTTGTGGTTGGGATGGGAGGTGGAAGCAGCTGTGTTCAGCATATGAGGCCTGACAGTCTGTAGGAAGGTAGATAGAACTTAGTGCCCAGACCAAACTGGTGGTGACTGACCTACATCTAAAGGTTAAAAGACTAAAAGTGAAGCCTTTACAGCAAACTTGGGCTTCAAAATGCTTACTATTGAGGGGTCAAGCAAAACTCTTCACAAAGGATGTGCCATTGGGATCCATTTTTGCCCTCCAGCATCCTATCAGCTCTAGCACACCCAGCATATTTGCAGGGAAAGCCTGCAGGTACTCTGGCAAATCAGATAATAAAAACAGCACAATCAGCATTGCCTATGAACCAGATGTGAGATGGCTACTAGTCAGAACTGGTAAACCATCAGCAGAAAACTGGCAGGAGGGAAGAGACTGTAAGCTCAAATTAAGATCTTCCAGTATATCTCTTTTTCCAGGTGCAGCTGCTACACCACCTGTGCTTCTTGCTCCTGGTGAGTTTATTCTCAGTTTGCAGCCACGTATTGTAGACCCTCCTTCCCTCTCCTCACACAGTCCCTTACACACCTGGAATCCTGCCTTCTCTGAGTGCCCCTAAACCCCACACTCAAAAGATTCATTCTCTTTAACACGTTTTGTCTAGTCTTCTGGCTAACACTATGGCATCTGAGCAGAAGCAGAAGTCCTCTGTAATTGCTCATAAGAACTTGCACCTGGCAGTCAGTTCTCTGACTTCCTTTCCAGTTTGTTACTGGGTAAATTATAAAATGTACTGATTTGCTGTGGTACAGAGGGGTTACTTTATGAGAGGGAGTGACAAATCAACCTCTTTTTGACCCCTTGTCATGGACATTAAAGAGCCAGTGGTGTTGGGATGCTGTTTCTTGAAGGTGTATGTCACTGTTCCTTATGAAGGGCAGTCACGAAGTCCTTCACCTCTTGACTCAATAAAGGGTGATCACAGCAGCTAAAGAAATTTACTTGACCTTTTAACTCAGAATGTCCTTACAGTGTAATTTTGAACAGTAGTGATAATGCTTTATGGGAAAGCTTAAGCAAATTTTTAGCGTTGTTGACTGCATAGCTGGCATTAGACTCACATCAGATTTGTACCTTATGGTTTCACGTCAGTAACAATAAAATATTTTTCCACATTAGAAGTTACAGTGGAAGGCTCTTGAAGGAGTTTTCCAGATATTTGTTTTGATTAAGCTGATTTCTAGGAAGAAATCATGGTAACTAACTAACTTTACTACCCTCTGTCTTCCAGTTCAGTCTGACAGTGAAACCACAACGTCTTCCTCAGGTCTGTTTTAAGTTTGCTGACTGCACCCCCTCCCAGACCCATTTTCACCCACCCTATTAGCTCTCCAGTGAGATTCTGGCTGGGCACAGAGCTCTGTCTCCTGCAAAATTGCTTGAAGTTGGTCCTTGAGTTAGAAGTACTGGAGAGTGATGGTAGTGGAAGCTGAAGCCTTCTCCTGGATGGCATGCCTCGGAAGGCAGGAGCTGGCAGATCAGCAGACCAGATACAATGGATCAAAAATATGTCAGTGGCAATGGCCAAGACTTGGCATTTCAGAACAATGTGCAAGAAAATCCATTATAGTTAGTTACAGGGTTGGTTGTTCAGAAAAGAAAGGAATTAGATTTGTGTCCTGAAATGTGATAATTGCACATCTATTAGAAACTCACGTCTTAAATATGCAACTAAAATTTACATTTTGTTTATATGTGTCTGTCCCCTTTACAACATGTGCCTTCTGTATTCTGGGTGTCCAGTGGGCTTGGTTTGACTTTCACTCAACTTTCCCTTCCTTTGTCTTGCAAAGCAAGGGGGTTAGAAACAACTAAAACTATTTTCCTCTTCTCTAAACCAGCCCCATCTCTCACATGAGAGTGACAATGGAGGCTGGGGTCCTTCCCTAGAAGCCTGGAGGACTGTACCTAGTGATTAGGTTATATCTGTGCCTGAATGAGTGCACCTGGCCATGATGCTGGGTTGCACCTCCGTGTCTGTGTGTGTGTTCTCAGACTGCCGTGAGGAAAAGTTCCCTTGCACGCGCCTCTACTCTGTTCACAAGCCAGTAAAGCAGTGTATCAGCTACCTCTGTGTCACAAGGTAAGAAACCAGCAGTCCCTAAGAAAAGCACTAGAAACTGCCCAGAAATGGTAAGTCCGGTTCAGCAATTGTTCCCTTTGAAGACTAGAGATTTTCTCTGGGAGCCTATTGGTGAGATGAATCCTATCCCCAGAGTGTCCTTTTAGGGTAATTATTTTAACAGCACAATGGCTTCAGTCTGTGCAGCACTAAGGAGCTGTAATGTGCCCATATTGTAATCGAACAATGTTTTAAATGGGCAAATAATGATAAGACAAGGGGGAATGGTTTTAAACTGAAAGAAGAGAGATTTAGATTTCTTGTCAGGAAGAAATTCTTTACTCCGAGGGCGGGGATGCACTGGTACAGATTGCCCAGGGAAGTTGCCAATGTTCCATCTTTAGGAGTGTTCAAGTCAAAGTCCTTGAGCAACCTGATCCAGTGGGTGACATTCTTGCTCAAGGAAGTGAGTTTGGAACTAGGTGATCTTCAAGGTCCCTTCCAACCCAAGCCTTTCTATGGTTCTAAGATTTCATGAAGCCATTGCAAAGATTCCTTTGCTATTGAGTGGCCTTATTCTTGGCAAAGAAATCATAAAAATTTAGGATTTGCCTGCTCACTAGTGAATATACATGGTTATTCCCTGTTCCCCTTTTTTGTTTCTTTGTGTCACTGTGCTTTCTGCTGCCGATCCCGGTGATCCTACAGTGTGCGTCGTATGTACGTAATAAACAAGGAGGTGTGCACTCGCATTGTCTGCAAGGAGAACGAGGTCATGCAAGGTGAGTGCTATCACAGGCTAGCTAGAAGGATAGCTGCAGCCATCTGATAGAGTTTCCAGGCTTACTAGTTGGCTTAGACCCTGATCCACATGCAGTATCTTCCCTGGACTTTGGAAGAGCTCTGATGCAATGCAGTCTTGGACACAATACTGCATTGTGTCCAAGATAAAAATGCATGCCATGATAAAAAAACTGGGAAGTAGATATTGTGCTATTAAAAAATATGATAGCTCTCTATTCCTCGATCTTGATCATGGTCTAGTAGTCCCAGACACACCCTTACTCAAAGCTGTACTCCTTTGAGGTTAAAGAGTAAATATCACTATTTCTGTTCATGAATAGAAGCAGGATCCAGTCTAGATTTTTTAATGCAATCTTTGTTGCAGCAAATTCAAGTGGTTTTAATATGTGATGTACATGAATAAAGCCAGAAGGAAATTCATAAAAGCTTAAGGACTTGCTTTGCTTGCCTCATGTATATGAGAATTGAGCAGTTTCAACAGTTTCTGTAGATGCAGTGAAGGATGTACCTGTAACTATTCTGCTGGTGAAGAATTTGAAGGAAGCTTTGATTATCTGTCAGCCTGTGTGTGTCTGCTTGTCTTCAGATGAGATCTGTCGCCAGCTGGCTGGCCTTCCTCCTCGACGTCTCCGCCGCTCCGGGCAGCCCCTGCCTCTCCCTTGCAGACAACTCCTGGAGCAGCAGCGCAGGCCTGGTGCTCTGTGAGCTACCAACATAGGAGAGGAAAAGGAAGAGAGAGAAGAGAAGTCATCATCCACTACCTACAGTCCAAGACAAGTGCTTCTTGTTTGCTATTCCTCCATTATTTCCTTGCTTCTATGCCACCTTTTACATCTTCTTCTTCAGGTGCTGCAGGGCACAGAGTACCCTCTCTGCCAATCTGTCATGGTAGCTGTTGTCATCTTTATAATCTGTTACTGAGGATAGGGGACTCTCCCCTCTTTTCTCTCACACTCTGCCTGGCAGGCTGTGAGCTGCTCATTTCCCAGAGGTCCTTATAAATGTGCTGCACCTTCTCTTGCTTTGCCCCTGGAGAGAGCCAGAAATGGGGACAGGATGAAGTCCTCCCCAATGGTACAGATGCCTTAAGCCGCATCTCACCTCACCTTCATGCCCTGGGACTCCTGCCCTAGATTCCTTGCCTGGCATCAGCATGAGCTCAGATGTGGTTGGTCAGCCTGAGCCTCTCTGATTCTCCCAAGCCACCAAGTTTGTTGTGTGATAGCACATTCTCCTCCTTGTGTCTGCTGGCCTCAGGGAAGTGGTAGAATTGGGAGATGAGCTGTCCTGAACCCAAGGCACCCTTTCCTGGGTGGCAACAGGTAATTTATAACTACCTCTGGGAAGTTTTTGTCTCAAGCCCATTGCCTCCCTCACACACATTTCCTACCAAAAGGAAAAAAGTCTGGATTTAGTATGGCATTATATTTTTCTCAAAAAGATTATGTTGGATCAGAGTGCTGCCTCTCCTCCTCTCCTCTCCTCTCCCCTCCTCTCCTCTCCTCTCCCCTCCTCTCCTCTCCTCTCCCCTCCTCTCCTCTCCTCTCCCCTCCTCTCCTCTCCTCTCCCCTCCTCTCCTCTCCTCTCCCCTCCTCTCCTCTCCTCTCCTCTCCTCTCCGTTCTTGTTCCTCCCTTCCCACTGAAGACATCTCTTGATGCCCATTCCAGGCAAATTTCAGGGAGCAGTAATTACAGCTGCCTCCACTCCTAAGCCCAAGAAAGCCCATGAAGAACCTGTATGACCTGACATTACTGAGAACTTGCAATGAATTATCTTGTCTTGGTGTCTTGGTCTGGCTACCTCCACACTCTCCAGTTGCTGTGCCTGCTTTCAATCTCCAGTTGAGTTCCTACCTCCTGACCTGGAAGCTCCTGCACAAAGCAGGAAGAAGTTGCAAATTGGAATCAGATGTGGGAGCACAATCATTATCTGGGATTGCTGTTTACCTGGGACCTGGGATTTTCCTGCAGAATCTCTGACTGTGCTGACCTGCACAGAGCCAGGTGCTGATGGGGAAGGTAAACCTATCTGCAGGTATAAGTGCTTGTACAGGCCAGCCTGGGCAGAAGAATTCACTGTGGCAGCACTGGATGCCTGGTCTGCTCAAGGACTTTGTTTTCTAGGTATATGGAGAACATTTCCAGGTATATGGGCAGTTTTTGTGATGAGACCAGGTAGGGTAAGTGGGGAAGAGTAGTCTGAATTGTATTAATCACTCCATGTGACTCTTAGTGGCACAATTCTGTGGGGCACCAGAGGATTAGCAAGACAAAGGACCTCTCTGTTATTCCCAAGTAACTGAAGGCCAGTTTGCTAGATTTGGCATTCACTCCCCTCACATTGTCTGCTGAACCCTTCAGTCTTGCAGGAGCACTGCCCTGTTGCACAGAGCCAGGCTCACATAGTATTGGGGACAGTTTGCTGCACAGAGGCAGATGTCCCAGAAAAAGAGCAGAAGCAATTAGTGTAGGAACATCTCACCAGGACCTGCATTTCTGCTGTATGCAGCAAGAAGCTGGTCGCATCCTCTGTGTGGGGGATATAACCCTGTGCAGACAGATTCCATATAAGGTCAAAATTAGCCCTAGATGTGCTAAATCTCTCTATATTTATCCAGTGTACAGGAGAAAGAATTCCAAATCATGCAATGACTAGAATTTTATCCCACATACAGGAGCACTGCACTGCTACTCAGAGGATGATGCTCCTCTGGAGTACTCCAGGCTCATGAGACTAGGAATGAAGGAGGGATTTCTTTGTACTGAGAGGGTGCACATTTCTGTGGAGAGGAGGGTACTGAGAGCTTGAGCTCAAAAACATTCAAGCCACTGGCCACCACTGGCTTCCATGCCACAGGGATACCTGTGAAAATTGCCTGTGTGGAGGAAGGTAGGATGGAGATGGATCTTGGAAATTGGACTGGGTCAAGTCTGCTCTCTGTATTTAGAGGTGAATATTCATCACTATAGATACATAACTGGGTAACATAGCTACTGTACAACATATAGGAATATAACTTTCATACAGGTTGGGAAGTGGTTAGAAACCTTTCTGTTGCTTGCTTTCAGCAGGGACAGGAAGAGGTGCTCCTGTCCAGGAGAACACTGTTTTAATGCTAAAGTTTATATAGTCCATATTAAAAAAAAAAAATATTTCCTGTTATTCTTGGCAACTCTCATGTGTTTGGGTTTATTTGTCCCTTGCTGTATTTCCTCCAGATTTGTGGGGAGACTTGATTCCAGATCAAATCTATCATCTGGAACATTTTACTCCCTACTAGCCTAGTCCTCTGCTGTCACCCTCCTCTCACTCATGAATCACAGGTCTTCCTGGGAACTCTTTTTTTTTTTTTTTTTCCTAGAGAAACATAACATTTTCTCCAGTACTTTTTACCATGGATACCTGTGCTAGATTTTCCTGACAATTGTTAGCTGCTGAACACAGAGATAAATCCTCCCAGCCCGTGAAATCTGGGCAGAGGACACATCTTTTTCTGTGCACATTCCACGACTTTAATTAACATCTCCAAATAAAATGGCAAGATGACTGAAATAAGGGAAAAGCTGTAATAAATATCACATAAGCAGAGAAGAACTTGTTCACTACAACCATTTAGCTCAATAATGGGAATATCTGAGAGACCACATTAAAAATTACACATCTATGTCAAAAGGATTAGGAAAATTTCCTTTTCATTGATTTTCTGACTTTTTTATAGTTTCATCCGGCATTGACTGTACATCATATTTTGGTTGAAAAGGTGAAGCACTCAGACGTGGGGGACTCTGAGCAGTATCTTCATGTGCAAGCAGTCAAGTCTGCATTTAGATGGTATTTCTAGAACAAAAGTGGCTGTGGGCCAAATTACCCATTAAGGTGCCTCTGAGAGTGCCCCATAGATCTTCAGGACTAAACCACACAATGCAGATTACTGCACAACACTCTCCTCTACTCCCTTTCCTGGCTGAAACTGTGGTGTCCTGGTCTTGGACTGTTGTAGTGGGTACAGCCTCAGCCCCAGTGGCTGGAGACACTGCTCCCACCCACATAGGCCAAACCTTCTCTGTCTCATAAACTCACCCTTTGCAGTGCTCCTGCACTGGCACTTTCCCCTGGCTGTGTGAGCCAAGCACAACGTATGCCGTCAACTGTTTGTAATTCAGCTTATTCTTCCTTTTCCCTTACACTAGAGTCAGCCCACACTTCATTGGCACTTGTCCCATACCTACAGTTATCACCTCTGCCACTACAACCCTAATTGCCACGATATCTGGACATCACTTTCTGTTGCAAGCCAGGGAAGTGGTTTTAAATACGCCTCCAGGTAGGTGTGCTGCTCATGCACTTGGGCTAGCCACAAAGAAAGCTGACAGAGCTGTTTTTAGAAGCATGATTCTGCATTTGTGGCTGATTTTCACAACCTCTCCTGACCTGGAGCAAGAGGTAGATGCCCAGTGGTCACTTCCTACACAATGGCTGCTCCTTCTCCTTTTGCTGTCACAGCTCCCTGGTACCGATCTGTGTGACCAGTTTGAAGGCTGCTGGTTAAAGCCAGTGCTCCAATGCCTGCTCCCAGTGAAGCGGTGCCTCACTGCTGGGCATGTGGAGCTAACAAGCATGGCAGGACTGTTGGAAGCAGCTGACATGTCCATGTTGGAAGCTTCTGACATGTCAGAAGCTCCTGAAACTTGTTGCCTGAATCCTGTCCACAAGAACCCACAGGGTGAACAAAGAGCATTGACATCAGGCATCTCAGCTTGGAAGGATCCCTCAGAGATGTACTGCTGGCTGCTGTGTAGACTGGTCCTTGCCACCCCCACAAAAAGAGCTCCTCTACTAGACAAAGAATAGCTGGATTGAAACCAAAAGGGATTTTAGCTTTAATTTTTTTTTAATTGTTTGGGTATTTTTTCTGGAGGTATTTATGTACACGATCCTGTAGTATTGACCCCTGGCACCACATGGTGACATTGTTTGGCAGTGTACATTTGTCCAATTGTGAGCAGCTCCTTGACTGGAGCACAGGAAATCTGAATTCCAGTTCTGAATCTCTTCACCTCCTGCTCTCTGATCTTTAGCACATTGCTTTTTTCTCTCTGTTCCTGCCATCCTTAGAACCTGTAATGCAGCAAGTTTGAATAAATTCCCACAAAACAGAGAGCTGGATTTTAGTCCATTAAAAAATGTTAATTAAAAATGTGTGGGGAGTACCAGAAAGCTATTTGATTGTCTACTCTTGTTATTAGTGTAAATTATTTTCTCAAATAAAAACATGTTCAATAATGTGAATTATATCAGTTAAAATACAAACAGCATGTGCTTGTTGCTAGTATGCTGAAGTATGTTTAAAAAGTGAATTGTGAAAAACATTCAGTTCATTTAATGAATAAGAATGCAGTTTGGGGCATTTTACTAAGGTTGCAATTTCCATACAAATACAGGTGGTCACAAATTAGCAAAAAGGTGTAATAGAGAAGCATATGTAATCCAATGTGTCTAACTAATAAGACATGTCAGATCTCACCTGCTTAAATATAAGAATAAATGTAGGTTAAGCTGTGAATTTTTTTTAATAAATGTGGATATTGAGATAGCATATGTTCCTAGTTAAGATCACACATAAACTTACATTAAAAGTTAACATGCAGAGCTAACTTCAAAGCTGCTCAGATTGCTCAGAGCCTTCTCCAAGTGAGTTTTGAAAAATTCAGCAGGGGATGGAGAATCCACAACTTGTTCTAATATTACATAACACTTAAGATGGAGAATAGTTTCCTGATGTCAGATCAGAAATTCCTTTATTGCGTCTTTCATCTGCTCCCTCTGTTCTTTTTGCTGTGCATCTCTGAGCAAACTTTGTCTCCCCTACAAATATTGCTGCAGTCAACTGAAGAAGATAACAAGAAGAAACTTTTAATTAATACAAAGCACAAGTTTACTTGCAAAACAAGGCACTAAAATTATTGAAATAAATTCTCTTCCTTTGGGGAAATTGTGTTAAAAAATGCAAAACATTACAAAAAATTATGTTAGTTAAAGGATTTGCAGTCTGTGTCCCTGCAGCAGGCCACTTTTTCTATGCTCACACAGCATCTACTTCTTGTGCACCACCTTCTCACCCTGCGATCACTTTCAATTTCTCTGCTTTGGGTTTGCTAGCCTTGGGTTCCACTGTTTTGCCCTTAGCTGGATCTTTGCCTCTTTTGGTCTGTCAGTTTTCATATTCTGTAGCTATTTCTTAGCCATCTTGACTTTCCTTGGTACTTTCTTCGCCACCAGAGCTAATCAGGGCTCTTTGGCAGTGCCAGTCAAGGGCCAGGTGGGTCTTGGCCTTTGCTGCCTTCTTGGCACCTTCAAAAGTGTTTCTTTTCTGCCTGATGCAGTGAGTCTAGCTCCTCCTGAGACTCTCTGTGCTGTGGTGGTTTTCTCATCACCCTGCTTGAGCCCAGCACTGTCATCACACAACATCTCTTGGCTCCTCTGTCCATCAGCTGCTCTCTTTGTAGCTGCTTGTTGGTTTAGCTTAGGAAAGATGTCTGAACTCTTTGTAGTCTCTGCAAACCCCTTTGCCATTTCTGTTCCCTGAGAGTCCCCAGGGGTACTGCTTCACAGTAGATTTTTGCCTCTCCAATCTAAAAAATTTCCTTGTTCCCTATTTTCCAAATTGGAACAGGACCAAGCTATCCACCCTTAAGTAAATTTGCATGTGCCTTACCTGTACCTGCACAAAAATGATAGAAGAGAGGAGTAGACCTGATGTCCCCATGTTGAGCACAGACTGGGTGAAATTAAATTACCTGGCTGTGTATGAGTGCAAGATGAAGAGATGCTCACGAGGACTTCCAGCCTAGGAAACCTTGTACAACAGCAAGGTGCTCAGCATACGACTGACAGCCAAGGAACATCCAACACACGATTTCTTACTGAACTCCCAACACTTCTGTCTCAGTGTCTCTAGCAAAGCACTTCTCCAAAGACAACAGGAAAGTTAAATTCAGGATTTACCACCCAGACCTCAGCTGCAAGCTCTTTTTGCACTGAGTAGCACGAGCTGCAGCACTGCAGCTAATCAGAGGCAACACTGGTTTGCAAAACCATAACCACAGCTAGAAGGTGAGCCTCATTCTGAAAAACAGCAGCACAAAACCGAGTTTCTCCCTGTGGCTAGGAGATGGCTGCAGAGATATGGAGCCAGCAACTTCCACTGAGGAGGGGGAAAATCTGATTTGAAACAGGGTGTGGGGTGCCCAGCCCAGGGAGCTGAGCTGTAGAAGAGGGGAGTGACGCTGGAACAGGGCCTGCAGGCTCCCTGAGCACACAGAGGGTGCTCTCCAGGTCAGTGCAGAGTCAGGAGCCACTTGAGACGGGCAGGGCATGCTGGAGGCTGAAGCTGCAGGCCCTGCAGTGGGAAGCAGCAGGGTGCCAGCAGCTCTGACAGGTACTTTAGCCCCATCTCTCAACATGGGGATGGCAGTTCTGTTTTCATCAGAGCCTGTTTCTCTTAGCATAAATGAGATGAGCTACCAACCGTGCCATGGCCTCAAGCCACAGAACATACTAAAAGGACATTTAGCATAAGTTTATGGATTTTGGTCACATTTTTTATCTGCATTCATGATGGGGAAGCCATTCACTAGGTCTCAAACACCTCAACGCAACCTAGCCCCTTTCCTGCCGTCCTGCTGGTGATCTCAGAAGGTGTCAGGCTCTGGTAGCCAGGGCTGGAAGAGCTGTGGCCTAGAGACATGGTGGAGGGTACTAATATGGGCAGGGAGACAAAATAATTGTGGGGCCACAGGGCCAGAATTAAGGATTATTAGTTCCTGTAAGAAGCCCTGGGCTGGGCTGGCAAAGAACTGCAGGGCACAAATGAGAAGCACTCACAGAGCTGCGGTTTAAAATGTATACTCAATTCAATAGTTTCACCCTAATTTGCCTTGTCCCCCAGCACCAAAACAAGTTCAACAGTGAAACAAAAATAAACTGCAGGTCAAGCCTCCAGGTAAAGATTTTGCAGTGCAAGCCTGGAAAGCTGAATTACTAGTAAAACACACAATAACATATAACCTTAATGCACACCCAGCAACCAGATGCCCTCAATTCTGCATCAGTGGCATCATTGACAATCCTGCAGCATGCAGCAGTGCAAGTTTTGTAAACTCACTCTCCCACACGTCCTGAACTCCTGCCTTTCCCTGCTCTTGTGTAATTTAGATGCAGCCTCTGTGACACTCACCCCACAGTGCTTTGGCTTTGTATTTGCAAACCCCACCACCACACCATCCCTCTCTGGTGAAGTCCACCCCAGGCAGACTGCACACACATCCTCACAGCTTTTATACATCTCTGTGGTGCTGCACATTCCGCATAAATCACTGCTTTGCAAAGCAATGGCTGAAACCTTCTCCCCAGGCATGGCATCCACGGCTGCAGCACAGGATGAAGTGGCAGCTCTAGGGACAAGGCTCTCTGCCCCATGTCCTAACAGCAAGCTGCTCTACATCTAGTGTGGAGTGGTTTTTTGCACCCAGGACTGGAGTAATGGCAGTGGTGTG